ATGTAACAGTCCCAATTTTTCTACTGCACTATGTTGCCTCCATTCATCCCTCCTAAACTAAGAGGGAATGAGATACTCTGAGCTATTTTTTCTGAGATTCTGAACTTTAAAACTTTTTTAATTTTAAATTTCTGTCTCAACAAAGGCAGTAGGGCATAGTAGACGAGCACAGAATTTGGATTCTGAAAAACCTGGACTCCAAAACCAACCCTACTGCTTATTCGCCAAGTAACTTTGGACAATTGACTCAAACTCTTTGAGCCATCATCTTCTTATCTTTGGAATATTAAAAGAAATTAGAAAGTGCCTTTGAGATGACAAGTGCAACCGTAGGCAATATGACTAAAATAAATTAAATATCAGGATTTCTGTTAAAGTGCCTGGGATAGTGCCTAAATTTGGGGCATCGAATTTTTGGTGATAGCTATTTTAATGTTTATCTTTTTACTCTTCTTTTTCAACTAGGTCGGGATTTTAGTATATCTGAGATCATTACCATAGCAGTAGTTGCTGCTTTAGTCCTGGTCGCCGTCATTTTTGTGGGTGCTTCTTGCCTGATTCGTGCCAGAAGCAACATGGATGAAGCCAATCAGCCTCTCCTCACTGATCAGTATCAACACTATGATGAAGGGTACGAAAAGTTCCAGAATCCTAATCAGTCTATGGTTTGATGACAAGTGACCTAATTTCTTGGACATTAGTGTCACAAAACTATCTGGTTGAAAAATAATAAATTGAGTTACTAACTATATTTTCTTATACTTTCTTTCATATGTATCCATATGTTGGAATTGAAGTTCCATGCATTTGTTTTCAGAGCTGGGAAGAGTCATTCAGACTCTTTTCATGAGGTTCTAATTTTCAGCTCTATTTAAAATGGTGGGTTGCACTATTTCCATGATATTTAAGGGGATAGTGTAAATATCTTTGGCATGTTTTAAAGGTTGACTATATGATGATATAAATAAGCTGCTGTACTTTGCTTATATGCTTAAGGAAAATAATGTCTGACAGTAAATCTATGTTTAAAATACATGAGTGCACATTTCTATAATGTTAAAATACAAATACATTTTCATTCATTAATATTGGTCAACAGATATAAAGGAAGCCACATTTACTAGTTAAAATAAATTATATGGTGTTATAAATAAATGAGGTCTTGATTAACTTTTTAAAATTGGTCTTCCCATTTAAAGACCATTCAAATATATCACTTAGTCAGCATATATTACGTAGTCTCAGATTCAAGGCCACAACAAAATCACAGTCTTTGTCACACTTTAAAGAGGTAAAAGCATTACTTTTTAAAGAGACAACTGATACTGCATATGTTTGCCACAGTGTTCCCGTACCTCTCAATTCACTGAAAATGGAACTATACATATGTGCATTCCACCTCCTGATTTCTCTTCTAATATCTTAGAAGCCCACAAAGAAAGCATAAAGGTGGAGAATGTGCTTCATAGTGCTTTACAAATAGTATTCTATTCACTGTGTTTAATTTAAATAGCATTTCTCATATCATTTGTGAGCCTTTTTTGTATTTTCAAAATAAAATACTAAATACTGTTTTATTGGTCCTCCTTTTCTAACTAGTTCCATAAGAATGCTATTTTCCCCCATCTTCTAATATGAAATATTATTTTCTCTTTTTGATTTTGTGCTACAGAACAATATTCCCAAGAAGTACTAGATAGGCTGGTCATAAGCGAATAAATGTTTTAAATAAATCGATGGCCAGGCGCAGTGGCTCACATTTGTAATCCCAGCACTTTGGGAAGCTGAGGTAGGAGGATTGCATGAGGCCAGCGGCTTGAGACTAACCTGAGAAACATAGCGAGACCCCATCTCTGCAAAAAAAAATTTTTAATTTAGCCAGATGTGGTGCCATGTGCCTATAGTCCCAGCTACTTGGGAGACTGAGGCAGGAAGATCACTTGAGCCCAGGAGGTTGAGGCTGCAGAAGCTACCATTGTGGCACTGCACTCCAACTTGGGTGACAGAGTGAGACTGTGTCTTTAAAAAAATAATAAT